AGGTTTGCCTGCTGTGTCTAAAAGTAGAAGCAGCAGCAACCCAGACTGACTCAGCTCACTGGCTAATTTGTATCACGTGTAGCCTGGTGCCAGACTCTCTGAAGGGGGCTTTACCGTAAAAACAGGAGAAGCAGCGCAAGTGAAGTTAGACTCTGTTGTCGGACAACATGCGGTATAGTTATAAATCAGGTTGGTCCAGATTAGCCAGCAGGTAGGTCAATATCCAGACCACGGACCACTAATCTGTGACCTCTGCTTTAGAACAAGACTCAGGCTTTGTACAAATGTTCTAGATTATTTGAGACAGGGGCTAAAGAAGAAATTTAAGCCAAATGTTTAAACCCATGCTAGAGCATGCATGTTGTTTAAAAATGACCATATGCGTCGCTCATACAAGCTTACTTTCCCCAAGGAGATTTGCTCATTTTCCACGATGTCAGACTCACCATCGGTAAGTGAAAATGGGGAAGAGGGGCCTTATGTAAACACATCACCAGAATGATTGACAGTTAGACGGACCACTTATTTTGATGATCCACCCGGAAAAACAAAATCCTCCTATATATCTTTAACTGAAAGGCATCAAGTATAAATTGAAGTTCACATGTGAAAGTGCGAAGTGACCTTCAGCTATAAGGTTCTAACAGCTTCTTCAGGGCCTGTAGCTGAGCTGCAGAACAACACAACCAAACTCGTGCATTGTACTGTAGCTATGACATTGTGAAATTATGATGATTGTGGAATGTTTTCACAGTTTTAATTAAAAGTTAGGAGAGGGGGTTGGTTAAAAAAATTTGAGATGCCACCAAAAGACATACAAAGCTTTTTCAGCTAAACATTGCAACAGATTGTACGTTTATACAAGTTAGTATTATAATGTGAGAAACTTGAGAAAAAATAGTTTGTTCTTCTTCACTAGTTATAAAAGCTTGGCTTCTCAGAGGACCATGACCCCCAGTTACATGTTAAAATTAACATGTTATCTTATTGTACAGACAGAATCAGATTGCAGAGCTTCTACATATCTTGACATTTTGTTTCTGGCATCATTACATTAGTAAATAGTTTTATAAATCTTTTTTAAACAGAGCACAGAGAGAAGTAGGGAGAGCTGCAGATTTAAAGGCGAAACATTTACTGGGATATGCAACATGCAATAAAATAGATCTCCAAGTTTAACAGAAAGTTTACAAGAAGAAAAACTATGCTATGATATTATTAAAATGAAGCATATCCATATTTTTTTGGATGGATGGATTTGAAATTGTACTTCTAGGGATGCATGGTTTATCGATTTTAGCATTAGAATCGCTGTTATTCATTTTTTTTTTTTATAACAATGTTTCTGAGCCCTATATATGTAATGCACTAAAAGGCATCTCTCTATCACCATCTGGTACACTGGTGCCACCGCTAAGGACAAGAGCAGACTGCAGCGTGTCATCCGGTCTGCAGAGAAGGTGATTGGCTGCAACCTCCCATCTCTCCAGGAGCTGCACGCCTCCAGGACTCTGAGACGTGCAGGGAAGATGGTGGCTGATCCCTCGCACCCCAGTCACAAACTATTTCAGTCACTACCCTCTGGCAGGAGGCTGCGGTCCATCAGGACCAGAACCTCCCGTCGCAAAAACAGTTTTTTCCCATCTGCTATCAGCCTTATTAA